CTCTCTCTCTCTCTCTCTCTCTCTCTCATTCAGAGAATGTCTGGAAGCCCTCACCTCAAAGGTCTGAGCGATCGAAGTAAACGAAAAACTCTTAAAATTCCTAAAATTCTGGGTGTTTTTGATGCAAAAAACGATAAAACGATATCAAACAACGAGACGCCCACAAGAATGCCGTCCATTATATTCCAGCCATTTTTGAAGTAGGCATCCCTTCCGTACCACAAGCCCTTTGCAGTGACTTTCACCAACATTTCCATAGCAAATATCACTGTAAACACATAGTTGGCGACCCCCAGGAACTCCCGTTCGGCACTCCACGGGGGTATCTTCGGTCTCTCCATCGCCAGTGTTATGCAGTTTAATGATATAAAGAGTAACACAATGTAATCAAAGTATGTGTTGTCCGCCATTGCCATACAGTGCTTTCGGAAGGGGTTGTCCGCCGGGAATATGAACAGAGAGTACTCCTCCCGTTGGGACATCCATTCTGTCCAATCAAAGTACACACAGAACTTGCGCGAAGAGTTTGGCATTAGGTAGTGGTCGCCACCGGTATCAGCGCTTGTAATCTGATCGCTGATCACCGCCTGATAGGTGGCGCCCAATAGGTGATCGTCTTTGAACGACTCGGCCAACTGGAGGGGCAGTTCGTCCAGTTTGAAGGCCGACGATCCCGATGTGAGCCCCGATTGGTTGCCACCGGCGCTGTTGTTGCGGACACTGATAACACTGGACGAGTAGAAGACACCGGTCAGGGAGTTGCGGGGCGACAGCACCCGTATCTCGTGGATGAGGGAGTTCTTGCGCTCCAGAGATAGGAAACTCGCGACCGAATCGTCGGGACTGACAGCCGGCGAGTGACAGCCGATAGAGTTGTGCCGCTTGTCGGCCGCCGACGGACGACGAGTGGTGGCGGCCGTTGTCGATGATATTGAGCGCCGGTATTGAGCAGTGCGACCGACGCTACCGCACAGCGCCGACACGTCGCCGTTGCACTGGTTGTTCACATCGGCTTCGGTTGTACTCTGGCGTCGGGGCCTCCGGTCCGACACATTGTCGTTGTTATCGCTATCACTGGACTCGTTGTCGTCGACCAGAGTTTGTTTGTCGGACTTCTTCTTATGGTTATTACTACTGGACTTACGGCTGATATTACTGCCGCGCCGTTGGATCCGTATAACGGTGTCACTGCCGGCACCGGTAGTACTCAAGCAAGAACTGCGTCGACTGTTGGGCGCGGAGGTGGCGGAGTCGACGTTAAATGTGGCCGAACTACAGGAGCTGCGCCTCCGTTGCAGAAACGCCGGCAAGAAATGAGAGGAGGGAACGGATAGGGAGGCCACGTTGTTGGCCGAACGGGGAGGGCTGGCATTCTCCTGTTATATAGCAAAACATCATAATTAATATATGGCTTATACTGTACTTAAATGGTATTCACACCTCATGTCCGCTACAAGACATTCATACAGAATATTCTTAAATATTCCGATTAAGGAATAAGACTCGTAGTGGACATGTATGGTGTGATATGTGTGGGTAAGGGAAGGGTATGTACTGACAAATGTCTGGTTGATTGAGCAAAGAGAGGCCGCCTGTATGTGCAGTGAGAGCGGACTCGACGGGAATGAACGACTGGGCTCTAGCGTGGCGTTGGGTGAGCCCTGCGGTGTGGCCGCCGTATGAGTTATAATGGGAGGGATGCCTAACGACATGTCTTTGTCTCTGTCTTGCGGTCTCTCTTTTAACGAATTGGTAGACATCCCGAACCCTTGGTTGGCAGCAGAGTTGGCTAAGAGTTGCATTTCTATCACACAATTAAGTGCCAAATATTAGTAATTAATAGTTATTATATTATAAATAATAATAATAATAAAAATAAATTAATATTTATAAAAGAATTTGTGTTTTCATAATAAATGTAATGTTTATTTAAAACTATTAATAGCTAAGGGTTTGTTGAAATATTTGTCTCACGAGTTGTTTATTATAAGGAATACCTGTTTTCCATCACTCGATGGTATATAAGTTATTTTAACACTTGAAGACCCGACACATACCTCTCTCCAGATTATCTTCCGGACCATAAAAATAGATGAGTTTCTCTCTCTTCACCTCCGGATCGTCGGACATGTCGTCAGAGATGGACCCTTTCTTCTCATCCTAACGTATCAACAAACAGACGATTCAAATATATTAATATTTCATTCATGAATGAATTGTTAGTCTTATAAATGAATTTTGTTTATAAAACAAAATATGAGTTTTAAAAACAAATTAATAGCATTTAAATGTTTTAAGAAGTTTATTTGTATTTATTGACATAAAATTTTATGGAAACTACTCTTATAAGTAATTATCGGTATTACTAAAAATAAATAAAAGCTAAAAATGGGATTCGGTTTAATGGGTACAGATGTGCGGAATATAGGGCATACCTCCTGCGAGAAACCCTCGACCAGAATA